CAGTAAACACAAGGTACGCCAGGCCTGCTGTCATTGTCACGCATTACTCTTCATTGTAAGTGTAAGGAGGACGCTCTAAAACAGTGGTAAGGCTCAGCACGCGGCACCCGTCCTAGCTGCCCAGGCGTCTCGGAGACAGGAATTGTCCAGCTCTGATATGATTCTTATGGAACCACCGCGACACATGCAGCCCATCGCTGACTGCAATGACATTACACAGCCCATGAGTGTATGTAAGGATGAATCTGACAAAAGATGTGAAAGACGTGTACGATGAAAACTACAAAATATTGTTGAGAGAAATAAAAAGATATACAAAGGTAGAGGTATACCATATTCATGGTTTCGAAAGTTTAATAGCATTAAGATGTCTGTTCTACCTGAAATAGATGTATTCAATTTCTTTGGGGTTTTTTGTTTGTTTTTTGGGTACCAGGGATTGAACTCAGAGGCACTCAGCCACTGAGCCACATCCCCAGCCCTATTTTGTATTTGATGTAGAGACAGGGTCTCACTGAGCTGCTTAGGGCTTCACTTTTGCTGAGGCTGGCTTTGAACTTGTGATCCTCCTGCCTCAGCCTCCTGAGCTGCAGGGATCATAGGTGTGTGGCACCATGTTCGACTGTGCCCAATTTCAACAAGACATTCGCAGTGTCTTAGTCTATTCAGGCTGCTATGACAAACAGGTTAAACTGAGCAACTTAGAAACAACAACACTTCGTTGCCTGCAGTTCCAGAGGAGGGGCATGGGCAGCCCACAGTCAAGGCTCCAGCAGGGTTGGCGTCTGGTGAGGGCCTGTCCCTGTGCTGCACCCTCCCTTGGCATAAGGGGTCCCAGTCCCCTCAGTAAGGGCACTGATCCCACATATGAGGGCAGAGCTCTCTTGGTCTCCCCTCCAGAGTCTCCACCTCGTAGTACCACCACTTAACCCACCAAGGGGATCTGGTGTAGACTTCTCTGTCTTTTGAAAGACACGGCCGACTGTACCAACAGGGTCTGGTCTGGTACCCGTGGCAGGTCGATGCAGTTGTGCTGCTGGTGGCGTATCTGTTGCTGCCCTCACTGGTGTGGAGCAGCCCCCAGCCCAGCAGCAGCTCCCGCTGCTCCTTCAACCTGCGCCCAGTAGGTGGGCCCTGGAAGCGGGGGTGGTGTTCTGTGGGGCAGAGGCTTACTCTGGACCCAGCTTTGTCTTGCTTCCTGCAGCCCTTCTCTCAAAACCACAGTCCACGGGGTCACAGGATGCTGCATCCACCATGGTGGCACTCAGCAGAGCAGTGCTCTGACCTAGCAACTGTTAGGTGCAGGACAGGCTGAGTAAGCTGTCCACAGGGCATGCCAAACAAAGTTAGCTGCAGGGTGACCTGGTCACTCAAACCCTCTGTCTGGCTCTTTATCACCTGTTTGCTTCAAGCCCAAACGCCCAAGCCCCCGCTCAAGGCTGAGCGCTTTGTCCCCCTGCTCAAGGCTGAACACTCAACCCCCTACTCCAGGCCGAACACGTAACCCCCCTTCTGTCAACAAGGCAGCTTGCAGACCAGAGACCTCATTAGATTTGGGCTATAAAAACTCCCTCCTGCCGGGCCCCTCTCTCTCTTGCTTTCTCTGTCTCTCTCTTGCGTGCGCTTCCTCTCTCTCTCTCTCTCTCTCTCTCTCTCTCTTTCTCTTTCTCTCTCTTCTCCTCTGTTGCACTGCTGCAATAAAGATCTCTTGGTTGCTCTGAGTGTTGTGGTCACTTTCCTTTCAGCAACCAACTGCAGAGCAAATCAAAGGCAGCCCTGCTCACGGAACTCACTGGATTTCCCACGTTCTCTGTCTTCCCCATGCAGTGAGTTTGATGACTTTGGAAGACCACATGGCGGTCACGGTGAGTGGCGGGGCCTTGCTGGCCGAGGCAAGTCTCTGGGTGCTGCGGGTGCTCCCAGCCAGCAGCCAGCACAGCATTCCTCCTGCAGCCAGCACCCGTGGGCCTGGGGCCGACGGGGTGGTGGAGGGCTCCTCTCACTACTTCTCTCTTGCATCTTAGTTCCAGGGGGAAGAGGTTTGCTGCAGAGGATGCAGGAACTGGCCACTGGGAGGTCCTTGTGCCAGTGGACGGGTGGCAAGGAAGGGGTCACTGAACTGGCGAGGGCGCCTGACTTTCAGGGGTAAGTTGGGTCCTCAGTAGAGGATGCAGGAGAGCCCCTGGGGATGTCTGAATACTCCCAGATCCTGTGAGTAAAGTCAATAAAAACGGAAAATAATGCAGTCTGGTCTGGGCTGCTATGCCCCAAAGGTTGGGGCCACCTTCCAGGTGAGGAACCATGACCAGCTGAGGGGCCCTCGGGAGCAGAGGGTACAGGATGAGCGTGGTGGAACTTTTTGAGGAAGCAGGTCATCAGGCCTGTTCTGGAAGGGTGTTTGTCTTGGGTCCTTCCCTCCCGTCTCTGCCGACCGGCTGCAGTGCTCTGCTCCTCGAGACAGCAGGGCCAAGTGACCATGGGCTGAAGCCTCAAACTGAGCCTAATAAATCTGTCTCCTCTAAGTTGTTTATTTCAGGTATTTTTCACTGTGACGGAAAGCTAACACAGTACCCTTCCTTTGAGATTTAATTTATACACAGTAAAATCTCCCTTTCAGGGCACAGGACAGTAACTTCTAGCACATGCAGACTCACTCATCAACACTACAACCAAGGTGTTCAGCTGGGCACCATGGTTCACTACCGCAATCCCAGAGGCTCAAGAGGCTGAGATAGGAGAATCACAAATTCAAGGCCAGCCTCAGCCACTAAGTGAGGCTCTAAGCAACTTAGTGGAACCGTGTCTCAAAATAAAAAAGAAAAGTGGCTGGGGATGTGGCTCAGTGGTTGAGTGCCCCTGGGTTCAATCCGCAGCACTAAAACAAACAAACCAACAAATAAATATTACAAGTAAAATTTAAAAATGTCCAAACTGTGTGCAGTGGTGCACCTTTCATCCCAGCGACTCAGGAGGCTGAGACAGGAGGATCACAAGTTCCAGGCCAGCCTGGGCAACTTCACGAGGTCCTGTCTCAAAGTAAGAAATATAAAAGGGATAGCCATATATAGCTCAGAGAGTGCCCCTGGTTCTATCTCCAGTACTGGAGAAAAAGAGATGAACTTTTCAAAAGTGAAAAAATGTAAATTCTCCTCTTTTAAACAACTGATAATCAATTTATTAAAATAGCTGATATAGGCATCTGCAGTGGTGACTTCAGACTTCATTCCTGGATCAGTACTGCTGGAAGCAATCTGCTCAGCAGCCTTAGGAAGGCTCAGCATGAGGTCTCTCTGGTCTTGATCCCAGAGCCTCAGCAGGCTTGTGAGGAGTCCCTTCACTTGGAAATTCTGCAATTCTAGTTCCAGGAATCGCCACCTCTGGTTCCACAGGTTTCTTGCAGCTCTGCTTGAGCTCTGCCTGCCTGACTCGCCCCTCAGCAAGAGAGGACATGGAGAGCCAGAGCGGGGGCAGGGGAACAGAGCCCCGCTGCACCCACAACCACAGGGATCCTGGAAAGACACGTCTGATGAGTACTTACTTGGTGCCTTCAGGAATTACTCAGGATGTGACAAATGAATGAAAATCCCAAGAAGTACGCAACTGAGTAAAAGGAAAAATCAGTTGCAGAGAGGGAAAGGGCTTGGGGGAAACATCTGGAGCATCAGCAGGAGTTACTGCTGGGCTGGTTTTGGCCTTGTCCTCTGTTGCAAGTGTCCCAAAGGAGGCAGGTGCTGCTGTTGGAAGCAGGCATGGACCACTGCCCACCTGGCCCTTGCCACCTGCTGCAGGAGCCCATGCTCATGGTCTGGCTCCTTCTCTCCCCTTCTGTCAGGCCCCCCCCCAGAGCTCAGCCACAACCAGGGTCCCGACTGCTGCCCCTCCCCAGGGCATGGCCACCGTTGTTGCTGATGCTGTGGGGTCAGTATGGCCAGGGGCCGGGTGTGCAGTGGAGAGGCAGGAAGGGTGCCCTGCCTCCTTGGCATTCCTCTCTGTTGACAGAGGCCTCAACCTTTGGGGTTTCCAAATGGCTTTTGCCATTTTCCCCAAAAGCTGCTTCTGCAGACATGCACACATCCAAGTGACCCTGTCTACCAGTGGTCAAGACTCTCGGGCCCCGGCATGTCTCTCTCATGTTGTGGGCAGGCTGGAGCTGGGCCTGTCAGTCGGGTTTCTGAAGCCCAGGGGAGCGCGGCACACCTGCCTGTACTGGGCAATGTTGGCTGACGGGCAAGGGCTGGGGCAGTGGGGCTGGTCCGGGAGGTTAAGGGTGTGCAGGAAGACCACAGAGCCTGAGGCTAAACAGCCTGCAGGCCAGACGGGGCTCACGCACTCTGTAGTCGGGCTCTGTGCTGAGATGGCTTGGCAGAAACCTCGACTTTTCCTACTGGGCAGCCCCTTGGCTGTCCTGGGGTCATCTGGCCTTCCTGGAGTGAGGGGCCATCACAGAGGCAGTTCCCAGGGCCACAAAAGTGGCCTGCCAATGGCGTGGGGCTGCTGGCCAACACAGATGCCCTGGATTGCCCCTCCTTTTTGAGTCTGTTTTCAGATTTGCTGTTAGCACAGGGTACCACCAAATGCCCCACCAAGCAGGTGCTACAGGTGCTGCCTGCACTTTGGGTCTTGCCCTGGAACGTCCCCAGGGTGCTTAGCTGAGCTGTTGGATGCCCGTGCCTGCTGAGCACGTTACCAGCAGATGACATCTGTGGGAAGGGCCATGGGCAAGCACTCAGGCCAACTACCCAGCCAGCTGTTTTTTGGCCATTGTGGAGGCCATAGCTGCTTTAATAGGGAGCCATGGGCCAGGACTGGGCTTGGGGGGAAACTCCTACCCAAGCAGTACCCGCTCCGACAGACCACGGGCCTTAAGCCCTTGCAGAGGCCTCAACTAACTCCAGTAACTGCCTGCTTTATGAGCAGGGCCAGCAACAGGTGGAGGGAGGGCCCAGATCCGCTGAGGGGGCCTGGGGGCCAAGGCCAAGTGAAGACCCCGAGACAAGAACTTTCCGTAGATGTTTATTCTACTTCAAGTAACAAAACCTATGAAGTCCTGTGTTTTAATATACAGTGATATAACACTCTGCAATACAAAATACAATTTACAGAAATGTCTATCAAGTAAACCTAAAGAAACACACTTGATTTTTACATTTGTGTATTTAAATTAGAAAAATTTGCTTTATATGTAAAAAAAACCCCTTCACATCCTATTAGATGTTGGAACTTGACATCTACTTCAATGTAATTTAACCTACTGACACTTGGTTCATAAACGTCTCAGACTGCTAAGTTCTTGATGTTTTCTCAACTTAAAAATTTGTGCTATAAAGTGAAAAATCTGTAGTGATGTACAATGGAATAAAAGACTCCAAAGAACAAATGGAAGTCTCTAATTTTATATCTGCAAAAGTAAGCTTATGAAAATATAAAAAGAATTATCAAAGTGTATCTGTACAGTCGAACAGGCTCCTCCACTGCCCACTGAGCGCTGCCCAGAAGCGCCTGACGAGCAGCACCACACTGCGTTCCGGGGCGGAAACCCTGTCTTGCTTGACGAAGAGCCATTCTTCTGCTCCCTTCATGCAAAGACCCTCCATTCCAGTAACAAACTTCCAAACTGACACCCGACTCATGGCAGCTGGGCCCCAGCGCACGTTCCTGGGATCTTGGGATATGAGAGTGCTGCTCAGAGGCAGAATTCGATACCGCATTCCTGATTGTGCATATCCAAGGGGACCCCCACCCCCTTACGTATACTTAATTGGTTTATTTTTTCTTTCTTTAGGCTGGTAAAACGTAAACATTTTTCATTAAATTGTTATTTAAAATGCAACAATTTCTGCTAGGATAGATGCTGCTTTTAATTACGTTTTTTGAAAAAAAAACTTAAAAGGTGATATATAAAAACTGAGAAAAACTAAGAAACATGTTTGGCTTCTGGGTTTAAACTTGAAACTCAATCCCTTTATGACTAAAGAAAGATGTATTTGCAAGTTCTGGGCTTCTCGACTCCCCAGGGGAGCTGCTAAGACTGTCCTCCACAACCCACCCTCAGCTGCCAGACAGCAGCGGAGGGCCCTGTGCACAGCCTGGGAAAGGGAGACCGACGAGACGCCAGCTAAGGTATGGCTCTAAGGTCCACTGAAATTCCCTTAAAATTTACAAGTCGAGTTATTGGAAAAGATAACTTTATAATCTGAAAAAGCAATATGCTTTTGTAGACACCTTCCCATTTATTTAAGTTAAATGGAAATATTAAGAGTTCTTAGGTTTTTTAAAAAAGCATCAGAATTGTAAAGATGTGAAATCTTGTTAAGAAACCATTATACACAAAATTACAGTAATTTTTGAAGTCCAGAATATTCTATCCTGCATCAAGTTCATAGCTATTTCAAAAACTGTTTGCTCGATACATTTTATAAACTTGGCTTTTAAAAAGGATTTCTGCCAGGCCCACATGTGCCTGTGCTGCGCAGCCTGGGGGCAGGGCCCTAGGCCTGAGCAGAAGTGCCATCTGTGTCGGGGGCCCTGGTGGCCTCGGGCTTTGCGTCCCGGGAGCTCTCTGTGCTCTTGCTGCGATCTTTGCGGTCCCGGCCTCGCTCACGCAGCTCCCGGTCTTTGTCACGGGCCCTGTCTCGGTCGCGGTCCCTGCTCCGGGACCTGTCTCGGTCCCGCCTGCGGTCCCGGTCCCGGTTTCGGCTCCGCTCCCGGCTCCGGTCCCACTCCCTGGCCCGCTCGGCCTCTCTCTCCTTGTCCCTGTTGGTGCCCCTCTCGCGGCTCTTGTCCCACTCCCGGCTGCAGTCTTTCTCCCGGTGTCTCTCCCACTCGCGGCTCCTCTCCCAGTCTCTCTCCCGACTCCAGTTTCTGCCTCGCTCCCGCTCCCGCCTCCGGTCCTCAAAGGCGCGGCCCGGCCGACTCTCTTGCACTTGGGCTTCTGGCTCATCTGGTGTTTTTTCTTTGGGCCCAGATTCAAACCGCTCTCTCTGCCTCGCTTCAAAAGTCTGGTTCCTATACTCATGGCCTTTGCCCTCGCGGAACTCAGACACCCACTGGCCCTCGGCCTCAGGGCCCGGTCCTGATGCTGTACTGGAGGGCACAGCTGTGGTGGGACCTGCCTCGTCCCACCTGTCCTTCCTGAGCTGCGGGGGGTGGCTCGGGAGCTCCAGCAGGGGTCTGGGGGGTGGCTTCATTGCTTGCGGGGACGGGCCTTGGAAGTGAAACCGGGTAGGTGTCTGTTCATTTTTTTCAGTAAAGGGAGCAGAGCCCCTTGGTCCCCCAAATGGCAGAGGTGCTGGTGCCCTCTGATTTGCAAACCTGGGTGGGGAGTGCACCCTCTGCTCTTCAAACTGCTGAGGCTGAATGCCTCTGGGGCCTGGCATGAAACTCGGTGCCTGGCCTCTGGGGCCTTCAAACTGACTGGGGTGGGGGCCCCGGGCAGTTTCAAACTGGCTGGGATGGGGCCCTCTTGGGCCCACAAAGTGGCCAGGGGGTGGTCCCCTCTGACCTCCAAACTGAGCAGGTGGGGGGCCTCCTCGGGGTCCTTTCAGCTGAGTCAGTAGAGGCCGCCTCTGACCTCCAAACTGGAAAGGCGGGGCACCCCTGCCCCCCAAGAACTGGGCCTGCTCGGGTCCTTCACACTGGGCAGGGGCGCCAGCTGTGTCACTGTACGGGGCCTCCTGGAACTCTCTTTTCTCCCCAGGGAGGTCTTTGCGCTCTTCAAATTGTACTGGGGCTCCTCCTCTGGGCCCACCAAGGTAGGAGGGTGAGGGGCCCCTGGTGTCCCCGTAAGGAGGTGGCCCATGCTGCCCTGAGAATAAGGAAGGGATGGGCCCCTTCTGGACTACAAATCTGGTGGGTGGAGGTCCCCTTGGACCATCACTGTTAGGAACTACATTCTCCTCTGAAAATGGAGGGACTGGCCCCCTTGGTCCTGGGAAGCTTGGGCCATGAAGTCCTGACATCCCAAAAGTGCGAGGTGCAGGTTCGCGCTGTCCAGGAAACTGGGGCGGAGGGGCCCCTGCTTTCTGCCCAGGTGGGGGGAATAGGGCACTGGGCTGTGGCTCTCTGCCTGCCTCCGGGTCACCTGCTGGGGTGTCGCTCTTCCCAGCAGGTTGGGCGTTTCTTGGGTCCTCAAAAGGGGAGGAGCCGAGAGGCCCTGAGAAAGGCTCTCTCCCTCCTGAGGGGTTAAAACTCTGCAGCTCCTTCTGTGGAGGGAAGCCAGGCTGAAAGGCTGTGCTCGGGGGTGTGGGCAGCAGCACTCTCCGGGCAGGTCTGGCCACGCTGTCTCCAGCTGCCTGGGGATGGACACTCTCTAGGGCCTGCTGGACAGAGTTTCCAGGGTGCTCACACCTCTGGCCATCCTGCTCAGATAACAGAGCAGTGTTTTTTTCCCCCACCGCCCATGAAGCAGCTGATGGCTCCTTTGCTTCCTGGGTGGGCACAGGCACCTGGCCAGCTGGAGGCGCTTCCCTGGGGGGCAGGGTGCCCGGTGGGACTCGCAGGCCTCCCGCTGGGGCCCTGGGGAGGGCTTCACTCTCACAGTTCTCAGCAGCCAGCCGCCTGGCCTGCCGCGGATCTCGGCTCTGCCTGGCCTCTGAGCTCTGGCTTGCCCCAGAGGCTCCCTGACTCTGGTCTGGGACCTGCTGCTCCTGTGGGAACAGCTCGGCCTTGCCCAGGGAAGACTTGGGAGGTGGCGACATCAGTGCATCTGAAACAGAGAAGTGGGCCATGGAGACCCCGACGGCCGCCCTCTGCTGCCTCAGCGCCTCTTCCTGTTCCTCCAGCTGCCTCTTCTGCTCCTCAATTTGTTTGTTCAGTTCTTCCAACATCCGCTGTTGTTCAACCAAGGAGGGAGCGGGGCCGGCGGTGGAGAACTCCACAGGCCTCTCTGCAGAGCTGCCTCTCACATCCATGCACATTCTGTTGGGAAGGTCGTCAATGGTCACTTTGGCTTCTTCCAAAATTGTTTCATCTTCGGGGTCATAGGCCACCTCTTCCCTCTCTGCTGTGTCAGGAGCTTTTTCCCCGTCATGGTGACCCCCTCGCTCGGCCAGGGGGACGTCAAAGGCTCGCTCTGGGTCGTACTCTTCCTCCGGGTCATAGGGCCTGTCATCTTCTTCCTCCTCCAAGGCCTTATCTTTTGAGAACTGACCATACTGCTGAACAATTGGATCTAACAAAGGAGCTGCTGACACTCCGTCCTCGCCTTTGGCTCTGGGATCCTGCTGGACAGCCTGAGACGGCCCAGCAGACTCTTTCACTGGGGGCTCAAATGATTTCTTCTTTCCAAAGAGAGTCTGCAGGATGTGCTCCAGGGGCGAAGCTGTTTTTGCAGTGGATGAAGTGACAGGGGAGGCTGCCCTGGGAGCTGCCGCCGCCACTGCAGGTGCTGAGGTGCTGCTGGTGGCTCCTGGCTTGAGGGATGACAATATTTTCAACACTGGGGGTTCAGGAAGAGGGGGTGGGGGTGGAGGGGACCCAGGGGGTGTGGTGCTGATAGCCGTGTCTGCAGAGTAGAGCTGGTACTTGGGGGCTTTCTTCTCGGGTTGTGGGGCTGCAGTTACCCTGGGGTGGATGGAAACATCCATTTCTTCTTGCTGAAGTCGGGCTCGCTTCTCATCCATCTTGTCTAGCTCTCCAGCATTTGAAGGACGTTTTATTTTTTGACAGATTACTAACCCAAGGATCATATTTGGACGTGGGGACTCAAGACCTGAAAAACAAAATATTCGTATAAACTTTAGAATCTAAATCCAGCTTTCATCCTTCAATGACAAAGTGTATTAAGGTTTTTTGGGGGGGCATGTTTATTAGCTAGAAGAGCTTCTGTGACAAAATAAAACCAAGATTTTTTGATTATTATGGCAAAATACCAGCAGCTTTAGTCCCTGAACACACCAGTGTGCCTGCCTGGTCCTGACAGCTGCTGTCCTAAAGGGAAGAGCGATTAACTCACTAGTCACAAATTACAGACCCAGAGCCCAACTCCTGAGCACATTCATCCCATTTTCAGAACTCAGCTCCATTTTAAAAAGTCTGATGCTATAGCATCCAGAGGGAGGTGGTGGAAAGGCCCTCTGCAAGCTTCTGCTGGCTGAGCCACAGGGACCCAGAGGTCCCTGGATGAACACCAAAGCTTTGCTGTGCTTTTGCTTGCCCCTGCTGCATGTCAGAATCACCCTTTGTCTTTAGTGTATGAGGTGAACTCAAAGGCTACACATGCTAGCAGTAAATGTCAGGGGACCAATTCAACTCCATTAATAATGACCAGCGAAGCACAAGCTATCAATGAGATCCTTAGTCTCTGGTGTCAGGTTTGCAATTAGTGAGAAAAATGAAGTTACATGAAATGGCTGATTACCTTAGAGTTAGAACAGAACCCAGTGAGCATCAGTGTGTCAAGGAGTACCTGGTGCTCAAGAGAAGCACCCAAGCAGCCAGCTCTGGGCTCCGTGGGGAGAAAACAAGTCCACGGCACAGTGTTTCTAAAAAGAGTTATTTCTTGAAAAGGGGTCATTCCAAAAATTAAGTTGTGGTAACTTAACTTAGATCAGAAATGCTAAGGGCTGGGGCTGTAGCTCAGTGGTAGATGCTTGCTTAGCATGTGTGAGGCACTGGGTTCATTTATCAGCACCATATAAGAATAAATACAATAAAGGTATTGTGTTCATCTACAACTGAAAAAGAAAGAAATGCTGGGCTGAGGTTGTGGTTCAGTGGCAGAGCACTTGCTTAGCACATGCGGGGCCCTGGGTTCGATCCTCAGCACCACATAAAAATAAATAAACAAAACAAAGGTATTTGGCCATCTACAACTGAAAAAAAAAAAAAGCTAATATTCTAGCAAACACCCCTCCCTGACATAAAAAGTCAAGAATAACAAAAAGAGGAACAAAAAGTCCAAGTCATAAGACAGTAACTTATGAGGGAAATAACACACAAAGGGCAAAATGTTGTTTCATAAACATATTTAAAATTAATCTATTTGTATATTTGATTTATCTATCTAATATTACTGAGGTACACGAGAGGTATTCATTGTATTTTTCTTATAATTAAAACCAGTACCAAAGATTCTTATTTTTGTGATTTTACAGACAACCATAAATCATTTCAAGTAGCTGTTTTTGAATACATAATATGCTGTTCTCATGGGAGTTAGCAGCTTTCTAAGTCCCAGGAAGGAGGTCCACCAGCAGGCTGAGCACAAGGGGATGCCTCTCCCTCCTCCCAGGCCGAGAGCCTCCTGCCTCCCTGGCTGGTGTGCAAGAGCTGGGGGCCACAACTGAAACCAGTCCTGGACCTTTCCACCATCCTTTCACCAGAGAAATGGCCCAGTGGGCATCAGAAGAGACAGGCAGAAGGGACAGAAACCGGAAAGTCAGGAAGGACACAATGAACATCACACTCAATTTTCTACAGTCAGCAAATGTGAAGGGCAATCTTCACATTTCCTATGAAAATGAAGTAAAGATACCTTAACTTGAAATAGTACTATTTTCACCATAATTGCCATTAATTTACTGAATATAACATACTGGAATCCATGGTGTTGGGATAGGTTCAACTGTTAAACTGGTTATCACGGCCTTTCTGTATCTTGTTGAGGCCGGGGGTATAGCTCCGGAGTAGTGATTGCCTAGCACATGCAAGATGCTAGGTTCAATCCCCAGCACCCTGGTGTCAGGGGAGGGTTGCCTGCTGAGCACCTGCGGAGCATTTCCCTGGAGCAGCTCTGCAAGGCGGGCTCACTCTGGAACCTGACACCAAGAGCACAGGTGGGAACGGGATCTGCAAGCTGTGAGGGTGAGGGTCCTTTGTGCGGAGAAGTGGAAGAGGTCAGCTCAGTGCTGACCCCTTGTCCTCAACATGGAGGGGCTACGCTACCTCACCGTGGGAAAGTCCAAGTTCTAAAAAAGGGCCTGTAGTACAGATCAAGTCTCAGGTCAATAAAGGGTGTGTGATGGGCACATCACCACTCCGACTAAAGCCTGGAGGGCTCAACAGACTTGCACCAGATTGACCTCTGCTGCCACAGTCCTCCCAGTGAACTGAGTACTATTTGTGCTGGTTGTGCGCAGCAGGCATCTCCAGGTTGCTATTGACCAGCTACCAGTACTCTAAAACACTGTCAACTCCTGACCATCCTATTTGTCCACCATCGAGGCCAATCAAGCTTCACAGAGGTCAGTGTGCACTCAGTTTCCCTCTCATCTCCTCCAGGAATCAATTTAAATCCAAACGGGGCTGTCCCAAGATGCTGACTCCTCTTCTGAAACAGACCACCTCACCACCTGCCTTGTGTCTGGCTGCTGCTACAGACACATGGACATCTGACATTCAGCTAGCCCTGGGAAGCAGCTCCTGCCTGGGTAAGAATGCATGCATTCACTTTGGGCCTGGAAACAGGCTCAGTGATGGAGAAAAGGCACACCCCTAATTTGAATTTAACTGTGCTCTACTGATAAAGTAAAAGGGTCCCAAGTGCCTCCAGCTGTGCCCCATGCACGAGGACCAGCTCTCTTCAGCCTGCCCCACCCTAGTAGCTGCCATGTTAAGGGGTGGGGTGTGTCCAGAGAAGCAGTGGCCACCAAGATGCTTACCCACCCACCTCCCCCAGGAAGGCTATTGTGGGATATGCAATTCATACGGTAGGTAATAACAAGCAGTTAGGTGGTGGGATGCTGATACCAGCTGCAGTTGAAACATGCTGTCTTCCATTTCTACAAAGGTCAAGGGTGCTAATGCACCGGGGCCAACGTTTTCTTTCACAGTGTAGCACATTGAAATCAAGCACTTTGTGTGTCTCCAGTGTATTGTCAAGGTGCAAGGGTCTAGCCTCAGATACAGTGGTATCAGACCTCACCGACAGGAGAGAAAGGCAAACCAAGGACAAGTGTGTGGTTGGAAAGTGTGTGCCAATTAATCTCCTTAGACAAGACCAAAACCAGGACCCGCCTCCAGGTGTGTCAGCAATGGGGACTGTGAGATGATGTGGCTGTGCCTCCACAGGTGCTGGGCAGCAGCACTTCTGTGACTGCCCCCACACTGTCCCTGATGTGTCACAGGTTGGTGCTGTTTTATTATAGAAAACTACTTGAAAGCTGACTCCTGCTAACCCCACAGCTATCAAAATGACAGTCATCCTTAATCTACCTGGCACGCTCAACTATTCATTACTTACAGTGAAAACCCTGTCATGGGTCTGAATCTGCCAAAACACATGTTGGAATAGCAATTGTGTGGAAGTTAATAAACGACAGTTCTCAGACATGGCTTGCATAGAGACCTGGCGGACTTCGGGGAAACACTGCACTCTTCCTGCACACTCAGAACCTCCCCCTCTTTTCCACTCTGAATCCCTAAAGCTGATAGGAAGCCTCTGGGCCATGCGTGTTTCAGGCAAGAGGAGGTGCTGCTGTCCATCTTCTTCCAGGTGCTTGGGTGTGGGCGACGCCCTGGAGCAGCACTAGCCCACATGCCCTCTGCTGCTCAACTAACTGCCTGGTAAGCCCCTGGGAGCTGCCTGCATGGACAAGTAGCAAAGGTGGACCTACATCAGGTGGCCAGGAGCTACCAAACAGTTCCAAGTCAAACAAACAATGACCAGTTTCCATGAAATATTTTTATTGATTTAGAAAGAAAAAGCAGTACATTCCATTCAATACTGCACATGACTTTGATTACAATTTCTGTGCAAAGCCACTGATACAAACACATGAAAACTAAAGAACTGCTTACCTGCCAATGTTTCAAGGCATAGAACTTCCCTGCTAAATGAGACGCAGTAAATTACAAAAAAGATATGGTGGAGTTTGCTGCTCCTCCAATGCTTCCCTGTGGACAGGGAAGGTGGCTCAGGGAGGACTGTACCAGCCTATGGTGGGCTGGGCTACACAGCAGGCACCGCATCAAGACCAAGCCAGGTTCTCTGACCTGGTGGTGGCCCTGGTGAGTACCATGGGGACATCCTGGTTTCAGGCCCAGCACTGCCAGGGCCACACAGATGAGCAAGATGAACTTCCCCTGACTAGTTTTGCTCCTGTTACTGAGACCCAGACCTGCACTGTGACTCCAAGTCCTCCCAAAAAGTCCTGCAGAGCTAATGTCCAAGTGGAGAGGGCGCACAGACGGATTAAGTGTCCTGGGCATTCCAGCTGTTCTTGACACTACAAGACCACCCATATCTTTGTGGAGAGGATCATTAAAATGCACCAGGACAAAAGTGTCCTACAGAAAGCGAGCGGGCTCTGGGCATGCACTGAGCTCCCATGGTCTGTATGTGGTTGAGCCCCATGAGAGCAGCTCCATAGGGGACCAAATGCTGGATGGCGGGCCAGCCAGAGCCTTGGTACCTCTGGGGTCTCAGCTTGCTTTCCAAGTGTGAAAAGCAGAGCTTGTGAGGGACCTCCAGTGATTCTCTGTGGTGTAAACTGGGGCAGAGGGACAAGTGGGTCACTTTCCTGCAATCAACTCACTTCCCCACCCACTTCATGCCATCTGAGCATACTGGGCACAGGACCGACCATCTGCTCACACTACCCCTGCTGCAGAGAGCAGCTCAATGCTGGGGTGCCACAGTCTCCTTCAGGCCTAGGCTTCATATGCTGCACAGACCGTGGAAGGGCGGCAACCATGATACTGAGCAAGGATCTGGGGCAAGGGGGCCTGTGGAGACCCCAGCCTCAACACTTCCTAGGCAAGGGATGGCAGGAAGTGCAGGGACCACTGTTTGCCATATGGCAGATGTTCAGACGGGACTGTGGGTCTGCTGGGGAGACACTGTCACCAGATTCACATGGGGTCTGAACTTTCAAAGGCTTCTGCAGAGACTAGACTTGGTGAGGACAGGGACACTGAGGCCACTGAGGTCCTCCTGCTAGGCCTTCCACACACACTGAACCACAGACCAGGACACACACACACACACACACACACACACACACACACACCTACTTCTAGAAAATGCCAAGCCAAGCCGTCTGCATAGGGCCAGGTCCAACAAGCCCAGCCCAGGCCAAGGTGCTGCTGCCCATGTTCAGACGCCACACACACGCAGACACACACGCGTGCTGACAGTGGGCCAGAGAATGGAGAGCGGATTGTCAAAGCCCGTGGGCTAAAGTCTTCACAAGTTAACAGGCAACACTTCATTGGTTACTTTTCTAAAACTCTCCTTTCTATTTCAACAGAACACAGTTGTTCTTTATTGTGGATGGACATCTGCCTATCTTTTCGAGTGTCCCCTCCAGGCAATGTCATGCAGTGGTGAGTGTGATATCCACTGAGTCACTGAGTGGAGAGGCTGGGTGCTCGGCACCCAGTCACATTCAGTGGAGGACCCCTCCTGCCCCTATGTCGTGGAAGTGCTCTCCTACAGCACTGCACCATGTGAGTGGCTGCTGCAGCTCGCGATGGAGGCGCTGCTTGCTTTTCTGGTGGCCTCCCTTGACCCTTTCACTGTCTGCTATTGGACCCTCCTTTAATTCCTGTGCTTGGTAGGGACTATTGAGAGCCCCATGTATCCCAGCCCACACTAACTCCAGGTGGCTCCACATCCCTGGTAATCAGTCCTCATCTGGCACTGCCAAGCTGGAGATGAGGCAGAGTGCAAATAAAGGTGGAACCTTCATTTTTTAGCAAAGGATCCAACTCACATTTCTCTAATAAAAAAGGCTTGTTGCAGCACAGCTCTGCATCACAGAGAGTCACATGGACTCCAACTCCCACACTTGCAACTGACTGGATGCTCTCCATAGGTGTCTGAGGGTCAGCTTCTGGATCTTCACTCCCAGGAGGACTGGACACCTCTTCCCCCTGGTCACGATGGCACTGGCCAGTGCTCTTCACATGGCTGCCACCAATCACCTTCAGGGCTCTTTCTGCCACCCAGGTCATATTTCTTTACCCAAGTAGGATTTGACAGGACATGCTAAAGCATTCAGCTTTTAAAACATGCTTGGCATTAAAATGACTTCATGTACTCTGCCAGTTAAATTTTACTCTGGAATTACTGATACTAATCAATACCTTTATGGGCATATAATTCCAGAAAGCAGGTCCAGGCTGAGCCCAAGCTGGGACTAGGGGCAGCTCACTGGGAAGAGCCATGCTTGGGCAATGACTCTGGCCCCAGGACCCAGCTACCTCGGGCACATGGGTTGAGTGTGCCACCTGGATTGAGCAGCAGGAGCACTGTTCCAAGGCCTGGATGGCACAAGGAGGCAGGGTCTAGACTGCAGCTGGAAGTGCTCGTGGCATCCAGTGGCTGCCTCTACAACAAAGCACTCAAAGAGCCATTGAGCATGCGACAGGCACATCAGATTTTAGGTAAGACCAGCCTCAGGGGACTTCGTAGTCCAAATGTGGGCACCTGGTGACACTCCCCTTCTTCAAAGGGACTAAGAAGAACTGGACACTACTGGACCAGCCCCCCTTTAGAATAAACCCCATCTTGGAACAAACCTGGAACACTTTCCAGGTTAATTTATAAATAATCCTTTAGATACCACATTTTCTAAGGAAGGAGTAAGCACAAAGCAGTTCACCAAGGATGAAAGGACTTATTAAAATTACAGGAGTATTCACTGGGAGGAATGTTCTTGCACATCAATGCTAACCGCCACACCCCAGGAATCATCCCTTTGGAGAATCCATACTGATTACTCCAGAGGTGAGCAGCAGTGACGAGCCTCCCGGGGGGGGGGGGGGGGGGGGAGGGCACAGGAGCGCTGCCTTTAACTCCCCCAAGGCTGGCCCTTGGTGTCACTGACCCGAGACTCCGAGACTCCAACAGGCAGTTGGAAGTGGTGGGTTTCTCCCTCTTCTTGAACCTCTGAGACAATGTCTACACTAATGGGGTCCTTCCAGGGCCATGTCTATGTCACAGAGGATGGGCTCCCAGGCCAGACAATGCTTTGTTTGCTCCTCTAACTCCTGCTCCTGGGAAGACCCAGTGTGGGGGAAGTGGCAGGTCCACCATGTCACAACTCTGTGGGACTGTGTGTTGGGGGAAAGGGTGTGTGGGGACTGGACATGCCTAATGACCTCCCAGAAGGCAGTGCTTACCTGGTCCCTCAAAAGGCAAGAGTTTGGGTGGCACTGGGTCCTTAGCACTCAGTGGGATCAAGTAGAGGTCCTTGACATGCCTGTTGTTATTTGCTACAACACCAAAGCGGCCACGGCTGCTAAAATAGGAGTAGAGAGAAATGTAGGCAACCTCTTCCTCCTCTGTTGCAGGGTGAAAGCGGATCAGACAAAGCTCCTGCAAAGCAAATAGCACAGGGCAAAACAGTCACTTGTGGCTGCCCTCAAACAAGCATGCCCTTTATATCTGAAGTCTGAGCCTAAGTCTCACAGATTCCAAAACAGAGGGTTAGGAATTCTTTTTTTCACAGTCCTGTGGTCCACATAAAGAAAATAAAGGTTCGAGTTTTAGCCTACTGGACTGAACTCTTCAGCACAAAATCCTTTAAACCACTGCACTCGGCCTTGACCTCTCAGTGAACCACTCTGGGTGCAGGTCAGTTCAGCCGTGTCCTACACAGCAGGCTTGCCCACGGATGACAGAGGTCATGCTGAACAGGGTGTAGGAGTTGCGAGAGTTGCCTAGTCATCTCCCCCTAGGAGGGTTGCCTGGATCAGAGGGTTTAGCCTTTCTGTGAGTCTGATGACATACAGACCCCCCCCCCCCCGCCACCCCAGGAAGCTGCACAGAGGACAAGAAATTGCAGATAAGTCTCAGGGGCTCTCAGGAAATTGAAGCCGACTCGAGTTTAGGCTAAGTGTATGGAACAGGCCAGGCCACCTCCAGTTCCCGCCTGTTCTTCTCCTTCAGCCATGAAAACACGAGAAAACAGAATTCACACATTTCTTACTAAAATCTAAGTGCACGTACAACGAATCAGAAACCCCTATTACCGTACAACTTAAACACATCTTCACATAATAATATAACTATAAATTTAGACATGTTAAGTAGCTAGGAAGAAAACAGACAACACCTTCTCCACCACCAGAGACCACACTATATATAAATGGATACCTTAGACACGGAAGACTTGAGCTTGCCGACATAATCCCAGACCGTCTTTGGAGCGATTCTCCCACCAATGTGAATTGTATCAGGCAAGTCCTAAACAGGAAGTGCTGGGAGTCAACAGCTGGTGCGGCTGTGGTACTCAGAGGCTAAGACAGGGGTCAAGTACCCAACCACCCAGGGTGCAAAAACAGCAGGACCAAGGACTCAAGGGAAATGCTAGTGGCTAAAAGGTGACTGAGAACCACTGATCCCACCAGTGGTATCTATCTCCGCCCAAAGAGACTTCACTGTTCCATGCTTCTAGCTTCAGCTTTTTGGTGCTGGGGGCTGCATCCAGGGTCTCACGCCTCCTAAGTGAGCTATATTCCACTCCTTTTTTATGGTGGTGGTGCACCAGGGATAGAACTCAGGGGCACTCGACCACTGAGCCACATCACCGGCCCTATTTGGTATTTTTTATTTAGAGACAGGGTCTCACTGAGTTGTTTAGTGCCTCGCCATTGCTGACGCTAGCTTTAAACTCGGCAATCCTCCTGCCTCAGCCTCCCAAGCTACTGGGATTACAGGCATGTGCCACAGTGCCCGCCTCCAGTCCTTTTTGAGACAGGATCTCCATAAGTTGCCCAGGCTAGCCTTGTGATGGATTCTCCTGCCTCAGCCTCCTGAGTAGCTAGGACACAAGAGTGGTCACAATACAGGTAGTTCCAAGTTTTTATGACTCTTTCACATACAGTTAAATTATAAACACTAGTCAGGAAGACTGACTGGCGACTCCTTATTAAGGTCGTAATTGCCAACCAATGCTGTGTGTTCAACTGCACCAACAGAAGACCTACTACAGGGTCATTCATGCCACCCACCCATGCTGAGTCTGGGCACCTCATACCCTTGGCACTGCTCTGGGTTACAAGTCAACCACTTGCTCATCTCTGTCCGAGCACAGTGGTTGACCTGCTGCCCTGTCAGGACAGTCTGGTAGAAGACAGACAGACAGACAGACACACACACACACACACACACACACACACTCTCTCTCTCTTGGTTCTAACCTCGCTGAGATAATCGAAACATCCAGAGACAGGATACGCCTTGGTGACAAATTTTGCCACACTCTGCATGTTAATAAATCCTTTCCAAATGGTGCTGAGCCGAGACAAAAAGAGAGTTGTGTCTCCTTCTGGAGGAGACCGTGATTCTGAGACGCTGTAAAACAAAACCATAAGGAATATGTAAATCTTTTTGCACAGTGGAACACTTTGAGAAGTAAAAGTGGACTTTCCAAGGTTGGCAGCTTACTTTGGCCGATTAACCACATTAATTGTAATGATTTAAACAGACATTTTGGCCAAAGAAAATAAGGTGAATAGACAATAAATCTGAATGATTTTAAGTTCAAATTTCACCTTTCAAGATCTGTACCTCCCAAAATGACAATCAGGCATCCTAAGAAATTGAGCCTTTTTAGGACATGAAGGTACAAAGCTGATTCCTGGGTAAATTTTGGAGTTTAAGTATTTGATTCCTTTTTAATGTAAAATAAACAAGTGTCTTGGCTTGTTCAGGCCCTAGCTTGAGTACGCACCTGGTGTTTGGTGATGGTGGAACTGACAAGTACCTTGGGTCTGGAGAAGAGGATGGCTTAGCCAATATGGACTTGGGCACCGTCACAGAGCTTAAAGCAGGCTTCAGCATGTCTGGTCTGGCTTCCACTGTGTGCGTGCTGTCCAGGTGGACTGTGGTGGACGCTGTGGCCATGCATGAAACACTCAGAGCAGTCCTCGGGTCCCGACCAGACACTGTGACTGTGGTGACCACCCCACCCCCACAGGGGGCTGGACAGGGGGACAGGTCTTCCAACAGGGAGGGCTCAGGGCGGCCCTCTCCTGGAGGCCCAGGGAGGTGCCTTCTCTCCAGGTTTGCACGAGGAGCACTTTCTGGCTCTGGCTCCAAGTTGTTTTCGGGCAGAGTCTCTGTAGTCCCTTCATCAGCTGAGTTGGGAAGCGGGTCGCGGGGAGAACTGTCATACTTGGGTTTTAAGTCTTCTTTCTTGGCAGAAGCCGACAGCTTCTGTTTTTTAGGGGCTGGTTCGTCTTCCGAGGATGGAAGCTGACCTGAGGAATGTAAGGACAGATATTCAAGAGCACAGCTTGCTCCTGGGCAGGCAACAGCTTCCTGGGAGAACAGAGATGATGAAGGTGGCCCTTCTGTGAAGGCCAGAAAAGCACTACAATCTTTCTGTCCGTACAGACTTTGGGCAAATACAACTGCCTCTAAAGAATAAGTGATTCCAAACAAAATCCAGGTTTCTCCTTTCCAAGGCTTCACCCCACCACAAGATATACTCACCAGTACAAATTTTACAGTTTAGATCAAAAAGATGGGCCCTGTGTTGACTCGTGGTGTCCTTTAGCATGCTGCTGAAGACATCGAGAAGGGGTGCTACACTCTTCTCAGGGGCTGCCCGTACTGACTCTTGCTGTTCCTAAGAGTGAAAGAAAAAGAACAATGAGGTCACTTCTTTTCCAATCCACCCCACAGTATCAACACACAGGGAAGAAAGGTACACCATCAAGAGCCTGCAAGAAGGGCCATTGAATGCTGAAAATGTATGCACATGTCACACACTCACTCTCTCTACACACACACACACACACACACACACACGGAGGCTACAAGCCCGAGAGCACTGGAAGGGGTTAATTTCAGCCTCTGCAACACGGAAACCCCGAATGCTCACATCCGAATCTGACACAGGTGGAGAATCCTCCATGTCAGGAATGGCTTCTGGCTTGACAGTGGTCTTCTTGCTTTCATTATGCAATTTAGTTCTGGAATCCATGACCTGATGTGAAGAAGACAGAAACGAGGCCTTAAAGGTGAACCCTGTTCTCTGGGCAGAAACCACATTCTCTATAAACAGCATGTGTGTTAACTTCTGGAGAAGGGAGGCCTCCAGGGCCTCAAGCACTGCCCCGTTCACACTCACAGACTTCGCCGGCCTCTCTTTCCACATGGAAAGCTCTTTAGATACAAGTTCCTCTGGCTTCATTCGCACAAGTTTTGACAGAGAGATTTCTTCACGTAGAACACGATGGAAGAGTCCCTACAAACAAACATCTTCCATTCATATTCATTCAAAAAATGTTTTAAGCAACTGCTTACTCGAAGGTATAGAGAAGCAGCAAAGAATCACAAGACACCCTGCAGGGAGCAATAGTCACAGGAGCAGCCCTGAGCAACAGTCACAGGTACTGCACAGGTCCCTGAGGTGGAACCCCACACCAAGCTCCCCAACAGCATCTCAGAGGAAGCACCAGGCCACCCCAGCTGAGCTATGACAGCTCCTCAGGAAGACAAATCATGTGCAGAGTCAGCAATAAAGACAGGAAAAGCATTTCTACTACTAGAGGGATGCCAACCTTGGAAGATGTACCCAGTGCATGATACTTACTCTAAAAGGCAGACAAGGGTTCAGGAGGGGCCGTGCAAGGCTGGTGGCTAATCCTTACTACCCACAGCTACTCCAAGGACTAAGGTGTGAGAACTGCAGGTGCGGTCCTCTTTGTATCTAACAAAGCCTCAGTGCTCAGAAAACAAGGGAGAAAAGGCTGCCCAAACCAGAAGATGGATACCCCATCTGCCAGGATATAAACCTCCAACTTTATTTTGGAACAACAGTGACAATCACATGATTTTACAGAAATGTTTTGGAGACTATAATCTAGCGGAGTGGTGATGGTGAGGGCAGCAAGTGAGATCCCAGCAGGACACCAGTTCAGACAGGGCAGGGCAGGGCCCATGAAGGGGGAGGGGATGCCAGTGTCTCAGAATGTGGCATTTGCTGTGGACTTTGAAACCTGGCTAATGGAAACTAGAGGGCATCTCCTGGTCAGGAGTGTTCCAACACCTAGGTGGAACGCACACACACCTGATTCTTAGGATCCTTGAGGTTGAACATGATGCTGCGGTATTTGCTCTTATAGCGATTATCTGTAACTTGGAACAAGTTAAACATCTCCTTCTCAATGTGGAGGGCAATTTTTCCTACTTCATTCTCTGTCATGATTAAGTCATCACTGTCATTGACTCTGAACAGAATGAAGAAAGAATGACATAAACCACTTGCATTTGTATATACTTTTTAAACAGGAGGCGATCTTGAAATGATCATGTTATAAACAAACAACCTCCCATCCAACAGATTAGACATGAAATAGAATAGCCCACCTTTTCCACAAAATCTCTTTCAAAGAACGTCTTATATTTTGCCGAATTTGTGAATTTGGCTGGGATGGGGCAGGGTTTGCAACTCCAATGCGTCCTGGGGCTGGTGAGGCTGTAGGGACAGAAGTTGCCACTGGCTTCCGGATGGCTCCCACCATAGTAGCAGAGCCGGGTGACTTCTTGGAAGCAGCTGCCACAGTAATAGGTGTTGGTCCTGCAGGCCTGGCAGCTGAAGCACCCGACTGGGCGACTGAGAGCCACGGCCTCTTGGGAATGGTGCCCTTGAAGCCCGAGGGTGACTTTTTAAAGGCTGGTTTGGCTCCTGCCACATTAGTGAAAGGAGGTGGCTTCTTTGGGACTAGACTTCTAGGCGAAGCTTGCCTGCCCACCGAGGTGCCTGGATGGGCTGTTTTCCTTGGGGCCGCCGCTGCTGCCACTGCTCTGTCCTCTGCTCTCCTGTCATCCTTCACAGCTGCAAAGCAGAGCAAAGGCATGTTGAGTGAGACAGCGGGTAGCATGTGCGCCACCTGACACTCTCCCCTGGATCAGCTTCACTTCCTGGGCCCTTCCTTGAGAAGCAAGACACAGAGAAAAGGGTCTTTTAAATCTTAAAACTCAGAAAGGCAATTAAGAGCTGCCAGGTAGTGTAGTGACCACACTTTACTAAAGAAAAATGCTTTATTATTACATTAAGCCTGTCAGTTCTACCAACATGCTTATTACTAGAGGCTCCACTTAATCACCAAGCTGTAAAACTGAAAGAACAAATTTCACATTATCAAAAACAGGTAGATTTACAGTAGTGCCTTCAGTAAGAATTCCAGCACAATTCTTTTTTTTTTTTGGAAATTTGATCCTATCAGTAAGGTGAAAATGGACAAGTTCTTCCATGTATGTCCACCCCGTGAGGCTGGCCCCTCCTGTTAGTGTGAGGTCCTACAGAGGAATCCATTGGGTGACAAATCTGCAGCATGGGGAAGATGGATCTTATTTTCATACCAAGAATCAGGTGGTAAGAAAAGGTATGCTCTCTACAGACATCCCCACGTACAACCCTTGAGTTAGTAATTCTATTTGTCATTGACAGGACAACTTAGTTGACAGCTGAAATCCCTCAACCTGCAAAGTTGGTCAAAGGTTGGTTACTAATCAACTACATTGAAACCCTGTATCAGAGCACCTCAATCAGAGCTCAGCACTGCAGCCTGGCTGGGCACACACCACGTACCAGGTAGGAGCCCAAGTGCTGAGACCCAGGAGGGAGATGCCTGGAGACACAGCCAGCGGGGACACCAGGAGCAGCGAGCCCCAAACCGTTTATGGAGTCAACAGCTGCAGACATCCTGAAGCAGGACCCAGGGACTGCAGGTTAGTAACTGATTGCTCCCAGTGACCATCTAACATGGTTAGATGGGTGGGAAACTCAGGAAAGGGAAGAGGCCCCAACTACAAGCAAGGCCTGATTCAACAAACTGCTCCTGAAGCCTTTGGGCCCAGGGCTCCTGTGTGGCCCTTTCATAGACCTGGTCATAATGCCAGGAAGTTGGGATCACCAATACTGGAGCAGACCATAGTGCTGCATTATGACCGATTCACCAAGAGGCACTAATGGCCTCGGGATACGTCACTTCATAGGGGGTAAAAATCTCTTTTGATTTAATAGAACCTGCAGCAGAACCACGTGGACCTCCAGCTGAGGACGGCGTGTTCATAACCGTCAGTCCCTCTGCAGGGTCCACATCCCTAGCCACTGCACCACCACACTCCTCGAAGGCAACTCCCTCCCTGACTGAGCTCAGCAGTTGCTCCCAGCTACCAAGATGGGCACGTCTAGGACTGCTGCATTCCTCTCAATCAAACAAAGGCTACAGGGGGAGCAGGATTTCTAAGTGACAGGTACTATAAAGCAAGGACAAGTCTGGCAAAACAGGAAACAAGGCCACACTAGGAACAAAGGAAAAACTGTTCTTCACTATCCAGAACAGTTAAAAAAAAATGACTGTTCAACTTTCCAGGTGTGGTGGCCATACCTGTACTCCGGTAAAGCACCCCTGGATTCAATTCTCAGTACCCCCTGCCCCCAAAAAGGACTGTACAACTTTTTCCACTTTAAGGCAGGCTTATCGGAACATAACGCCCCTCAAATCAGGAAGCATATGTGTGACCCTGCCAGGTTAAATAAAACCAGTGAAGGCCCGTTCTTGGGGGAAGCAGCGGGGAGGGGCAGGGAAGAAAGCGATGACAGTTCCCAGCACAGTGGGAAAGAAGCGCTGCAGCACAATATCCAAAGGACTGTGACAATGAGCAGGGGCACCAGGAATCCTAGACTGCTGTCTGCAGAGCTGTGCACCTGACCACCAGCCAGGACGCCTACCACCTGGCAGTCACAAAGAGAACGACCCAGCGTGGTGAAGGGTGAGCTCCCAAACCAGCTGAAAACTTTGCTGAAAAAAATCTTAATATCACACTATTAAATAACTCTAAAAATCTGGCCTAAGGCATTTACAGAACCTCAACATAACCCTGATATGCTTGTGTGGAATGACCTGAAATAAATCTGCAGGGACATTTGATGGTTTACCTCGTTTCTGGTTACAAACACCTATGGGCTTCAAAACCATAAATTTCGCCTCTCCAAACCGAGCTTCACAACATGTCTGGATCAAGATCAAACCCTCTACTGCTTTAACTTTTCTCCCCGCCAACCCCCTTCAGGGCAAATCTCAAGAGAATATTTCTAGGATGTTCCTGGCACATGTGATTAAATGCTCAGGAGTGGAGTCCCACCTGAATGTTATCTACTACAAAGCAGGGGACAGAACCAGTCACTTCTGCTGTTAAAAAAAACCCTTATAACCCTTAGTATGTGAAAGGTATCAGGCAAACACAGAAACCATTAAGACATCCCCCAAATGCATATGCGAACAGCTCCAGTTCACCTGCAGGTGTCCTGCCACACCAAACCCTCTTCACTTCAGAGGGAGATGTTTAAAACCTGTCAAGTGTCCAACACAGCAAATGTTCCAGAGCCCTCCACACACTCTGTTCTCTTCAAGTGGGAGTTGCAGGGCTTAGTCAATTACTGCTGAATGGCAGTAAGAACCCCCATTTTTATTCTAGCAAAACTGTAAGATTTACAATTAATAAAAATTTTTTGGAAGAGCTGGGGATGAACCCCGGGCCTGGTGTACACCAAACTCTACCCCTGAGCCACACCCCCATTTCACTTTTAACTGTATTGTGCTGCAAGTTTACAGAAGGGAAAGGAGCATGTGTAACCAGCCAAAGGGAAAGCCCATTCTGGAAGGAAGCAACATACCTCCCAGGTCTGTCCTCCACTGTCCTGGGGAGAGGGGCAGTGCCCAGTCCAAACTCATGGGCTCACACTGAGGAGCCATTCTGTCAACACCGCCTCTTTTGACTCCTAACCGTGGTCCTGCTTGGGGGGGAGGAAAACTACCACCCTGTAGCTTAGTAGCCACAAGTCTCCCCATGGGTTGAGCCTGTCCCAGGTCCAACTCTTGCTGCCAGGACGGGCCATTTGTTTGTAATGGACATGTATCTGGGGTTCAGCTGACCACAGAACGTGGCAGATCACTGTGCACTAGGCGCAGCAAACACTTCCACTCAGATGCTTTGTTGCACTGAAGGCTGATAGGGAGCTATAGCATTGCTGGTCACTGGGTGGCACTATTGGGCCTCAAAAGAGAAGGGGAGAAAATCGGGCTTCCAGTGGAGGAAACGTGTTAATGTGTGCCTTTGGAAAAAACGTGTGTAACTGTCCAAATGGAGGCTGTGGCACAAGAGGGTGCAGGAACAGACACAGGGCAGGAGACCATCTGCAGAGCCCCAGCCGCCCAGACACCCAGGGCTGGCAACGGCCCTCTTCTGGGGCTCCTCAGGGAGAGGGACAGGTGGATCACTCGCCTGAGCACCGGGCCTTCCCACCAGCTGCTGCGAGGGAGCTGTTCTCCCTCCCATCCTGTCCGCATCCTCACTGCGAGCCTGTACCTGGAAACCAGGCCTGGCCGTAAAACCCGCTCCTGGACACCACTGCCACCTCAGCTGAGAGCCACGTGGACAACGTGGTTTCCATTTCAACGGTTTCTTCACTTCAAGATCTTTCCTAGTATGAAGACTCAAGTGACAATGACAAGAGAAAATGTTTTGCTTTTGCTCCTTTCAGTATGCTTAAATATTTTCAAATGAATTATCCTCTCTAAAGTACAGGATGTTACAAATTGGCTTTAATATGAGAAACAAAATGTGGATAACAAGGAGAGGCCGTACTATGGGTACCTGTCAGGGCAGATGGCCACTGTGACGGCAATGTTTCTGCAGGCCCATGGCCCCTTCACCATTTGGGCTATTAAGTTTCCCTAGGTCACCCCACCCCAACTTATGTCTAAAATTTGAATTTAATCTTAACAGAGACGTTCTAACTCTAAAGGAAACTTGCAAAAACAATTGTACACCTAGAAACAAATTACTCTTCTTTGGTTTAAGTTTCATACAGAGTCACTTAAATTATACTGAAACGTGATTCATGTTGGGTTGGCAATGAAGAATTGGTCAAGTTACACTTCAAAGTGAACCACAACTGGAGTGTGACGAAGGGGCCCCCATGGGCATTTGCTGTCAGCACCAAAGTAAGCCAGCCTGTGCCTGGTTACCAACAAGGGACTCACAGGCAGCAGAGCTGGGGGAGCAGGCAGTAAGGTTAAATTTTAGCCAAATGACTGGAGCAGGCTGAAATAACCCACCTACCCTCCCCAGTACCTCTAGACCCAAAGGGTTCTACTCAATGTGTAGAACCCCCGAAGCAGATGGCACTGTGCAGACCCCAGGTGAAGTGAGCCGCCAGTTACCTGATGTTCTTCTTGCAGAGCTCGTCCAGATTTGTGCAAACCAAAGTTGCCCCAACCTTCACAAATTAAAGCAGCAAACATTCTTTACTCCTCTTTTAGAAGCTAAGAATTTAACTATGTGCGTGTTGATGGGTAACAGCAACGATATACTAAGTATGTTACTTTACATAAATATACCTGAAACGTGTGTATCATACTGAAGTTATAGCAGCCATCTTCAGAGGTGACCTTTGCACTCTATGACATCAGCAATGCCACCAAAGGGCTTTTCCTGGAGTATTAATCTTTAGAGTATTAGAGTAGATCCACAGCTCCCAAAAGTCCCAGAGAGGTGAATTTAGCAGGACCAACCCCACTGAAAACTTCCACCCCTCACTGCCTCCCCAGGGAGGCTGAAGTATGAAGAGGAAGGGGGCAGCTGCAGGACAAACTGGACAATGCTGTAGGACAGTGCTGAGGGGCTCACCTGGCAGGTTCAAGTTTACAGAGTTGTAACCAAGGTTTTCTGAATAGGCTACTAAGTTATAACAATACTTTAAAATACCAAGATTGTCATTTTTGACAACCAAAAAAAAAAAAAAAAAAAAAGGATCATTGGATGGACAATACTACAGCCAGCTATCAAGCCGTCTTCACCCCATGAGACTGGGTCACAGGACAGTCAGGCTCCTCCCACTCCCACTTTATTGCCACTGACAACTGTGAAGGGGACAGAAACAACTCAGGAGCTGGTAAAAGAAGACCCACCCCTAGCTTTGGATTTCTATACACCTGGGGTTCTAGAATCCCCCATGTTACAAGGAAATCTGTTCCACTTATGATTTTAATGAAATGTGCTTCTGGAGCCCAGAGCCCAAGTTACCCTGGTAAAAACCTGTGTTCTCCTGGATCCATTTCACCACACCACCTGGCCCGTCTGTGTGGCATGCACTCATCAACGAGGAAACGCTTCTACCTGGGTAAGATGCACAGCAAATCACTGGGATTTGGGTCTGCAGGGGTTAAGGTTTTCCTTTTCAATTCTCACAGCTAGATGAAATGTTTTCCTGTCAAAATCTATTTGGATCCCCAGTCACTCAGTGAGCCATTTATCAAACCCAATATACTAACAATTGTGTCTATAAATGTAAATACTAAAATTAAATTCTAAAATTCTAATACACCAGGAATGTTGTAGAAAAAAAATGTTTGGCCCATTTCATGCCTTGACGGTAATGGGAGGTGCGCTAATGGTGGAAGTAAAAGGGAGAAACCCATGGAAGGTATGACACAACAGCACCACCATCTCTGGAGAAACAGAGTGCAAACTCTTTTCATAAACTACTACTGTACAGAAATTCTAAAAAACAATTTTAAAATACAGAGGAACTGTGCATGAATCGCGTCACCTGGAGATCATGAAGCAGCAGTAGAGCTTCCCGCACAGCGAGGCCTGCCTGCATCCACCTGGGGCAGCACCAGTGCCACAAGGGCAGGAGGCTGAGGCACCTCCAGGAGCAGCTGCAGCGGTGCACGGCTCTGCCACGCAGGTCCTCTCGAGGAGCGATGGTTGAATTGACTCCAAAAAAGTGAACTGGAAGTGTTCCCAGCATCAGCTTCGCTCAGAGCCTCCCCACCCACCCCCAGCCCAGGAGTGTGCTCTGCAGCCAGTGGGGAGGCATGCCCACGGCTGTGCATGGGAATCCTTCCTTCATGCCAACCAGGGACTCGGGACTCATGCCCTGCTACCACGAAGGCAAGGAAATGTTTAGGGGAGAGGCAGAGACACATTGCTGCTGCTCACCAGTGTTGGGTTCAGAGGACTTTACCATGACCCTACTCTCCTCCCAATCATTGTTGGGAAGACATTATTTCTGGAATAACAGTAAAATGATCATCAGTGACCAGCTTGGAAGGATGTTCCTCAGGCACGCTATATTCTGGATGTTCATCAGTTTTAATTTTGAGATGTCGATGTGCTGGGAAGGTTATTCAGGTAATCTGTCCCAACTTTCTGCCACTGGATCATACCCACTCCATTGAGGAGCCAATACAAAAAAGGTCAAAGAAAAACCTGAGAGGAACCAGCTCCTTGTTGATCCCGTGCTCCTGTCCCTCCCTTCCCCTTAGTGAGACAGGAGACAGCACCTTGGTTAGCAGCCCACCATCCCCCACAGTATACCTCACCCCCGCCCCCCTTGTGCAGGGTGTCTCCTAAAACACTTCTTTGGGGCTTCAGGGGCAGAGTTCCCCTTCTGGATGCAGATGGAGGTTAACTGAACCGAAACCAATCACCCAGCTGTCTGTGCTGTGGTTATACCCTGGGTTTTTCTTTCCTTTATTGTTTAATGTGCCTACAACCGATTTTACTGACATTTTAGCCAGTACTAAAAGTGGCTACCTTCTGCCCATTCACAGATAGGTGTTGCTCATTTTGAAGTATATTCGTTAGCTCAATAAAAGTGCTATTTAGAGCATTATCTTTGATGAGCATTTGAGAGGCATCATCTGCTAGTATAAAATCCACTGCACAATCTAAGGTGTCCTGAGGTCCATCATAATGCACCAGCTGGTGAACTCATTTACCCGTGATTCCATTTCCTTGCCCTTTTACCTTCTCATTTTCTTAGCCACCTGAGATCTAGCACTTCCTGCAAGGTGCCCTCAACTCAGGGGGGCACTGAAAGCAGACTGAAAGGGAAAGCACCACACATCTCTGCTCTTGCAATTCAGAGATATTTCACCTTTCAGTGCTTTTACAAAGGCACAAAATGCAGAGAAGGCATGATGAAAACTGAATTGAAAAATTTTATATGGATCTAATTTATATGGATCTATATGGATCTAATTTAAATGTCTGAGACTTAGCTTTTGAGTGAGGCTGAGACAAGAATGAGTGCAAGGTGCATGATCTAATCTGAGGTTCCAAAGGTCTACTCGAAGCATCTTCATTTCAACTGATCTGAAATCTGGGGCAAACACTTGAGAGTCAAAAAGTCGCCACCCTGTGACACCAGCCCACAACTGTCCTATTGTGAGGACATTGCTCTGAGTGTGAAGGACACCACGCTCACTTACCGTGGGGTCTGCTCAGCAGCAGCAAATGGCCTTCAAAATCTGGACGTGGATTTATGATTTATACAGATATGTAGTTATGTGAACTGGACATAAGCAAAACATCTGTCTAGTCAAAAACGCTAACTACTAAAAATCCTATTTAGCCTGTCCACCAGAGCAACGTTTAGAGAAAGAGATGTCACAGCATACAAAACGGAAGTGATTTTATATGCAGAAGGTAATGTGGAAAAACTCAAGTTTTATGCAGGGCTCTGATAAAGCTGATGGGACAGTGGTGAACTGGGAGTCGGGGCAGTGCATTGATACAACTTGATTTTGCTGGAGATAATACAATACTTACCAGAGCCTGATAATAAAGCAAAAAATTAAAGAACTGCACCCCCAAAGTGAGACACTGAGCAGTGAGGCTCATACAGCTCTTTGGAGAACACTGAGAGGAAGTCCCATAGGCTAGGTATGGACACCTGGTCCAGAGGTGTCCTTGACATGACGGTGAGCCGGTGCCTACCATCAGCACTAAAACACAGCTGCGGTTCCTAGTCCTGGGGGCTGGGAGGCCAGCCCCTGGGTGATACGTACATTTACACAACAGCGGTGGCGAGAGAGCAACCGTCTTCTCTGGCTTCACTGCATTGTAGTTGTGGTCACTTGCCCAGGATGGAGTGCTGCTCTCGCAGGGGGTCTCCTTCCCCAGGGCTTCGCTCCTTGAAGGAGCCACCATCATCTTCTTGGCCAGATTCTCCTTCTTCTCTGGAGCTGGTCTCTTGTGCATAGAAGAGATTTTAATCCCTGCCTGGACAATCAGTGAAACTCAAATCATTAAGGAGACCAAAAATGACACCTTTGTTTTGTTTCACTGGGCAAAGAAGGTCATATCACCATCTCCTTCTTGAGTCACCCTAAGACCCCTTGCCCACCCAGGCTTATATGCCACATTTGCTCAGTGTGGCTATGTCTATATGCCTAGCAGACCCTCAGCATCGCCACGGAGCACTTGGGTTTCGACTGTTTATGTTGACAGAAGGGTCCCTGTTGGAACTGTTGAGGCATGAAGTTCCAAAATGACAGAAGAATGAACCCCTCAAATGAGCCACTGAAATAAGCCAATACAAGGTGGAAAGAATGCAGAGAACAAATGGCATTTCTATGTTCTCTGCTACAGCCTGGAGACAGAAAACTGGCAGGGTCCCGGCACTTTCAGTTCTGACATCCTCTGGGTACAGCAGTCATTGCTTCTTTGGCAGCTCCAGGATTCAAAACTACCAGCTTTAGAAATCATCTAAAGGCTAATAAGCAAGCATTCAAAGGTAATCCCCGCTTCTTCTCAAGTCAGAGAGAATAGAAATGGAACCACTCAATGCCTTAAATGAGACACAGAACCTTGCCCAGAGCCTGCCCCATTCCTAGCCGCTGAGTTGACTTTGTACACTCTTGACTACTGGCTTTGGCAAGACTGGTTTGCATTCTGAGACCTGAGGTTCTCCACGGCAGCCAGCTGCCTGAATTTATGCTACTGTATCCATGCAAACCAGCCCTCAGCCAAGAGAGGACAACAGAAGCAAATGGGACATAATCCGCACTGCACAGATACCCACCATGCCCTATGCTCCCAAGTCCATGGGAAAGCATGTACACACACTTTTGCTTCAAGGGTTCCAAGGGTGATCTTGGTCTGCTTACCTGAAGACTACATTTTGGAAGACTGAGCTTTTCTGGCTTCATCTTGACCTTTTCCTTAGGTTTTGGTTTTTGTTCTTTACCTGAACTTAGAAATTTCATAGTAGCTGCCGCATGTTTGAGAATGCAGTCATTACTGCAATACACTGAGTCAGGCTGCGCCACATTGGAGCACCCAGGGCCGATGCATCTTGAGGCACCTGGAGCCTCTACAACCTGCAGAATGAGACAGGTGACTTCAGATGAAATACACGCCAATGCCAGCGGTTACACACTTTGTAATAGCGTTACAAAGTGCCAAGGTCACTATTTTTAATTGAGAGACGCAAACAATATTTTTGATATGAACAAAAATTCATTTTTACTTTTATAAAGTACCAAGTGAGGCATTTGCATGTCAGCTCTTCTTCAAGCCTGTGGTGGGCAGGACTCTGTGGGACCCCTAGCACACATGCTTATCTTTAGTCTTCCTTACCCTTGAGGCTGAACAAGGAGAATGGGCCTCTCCTGAAGAGAAGACTTCAGGAGTGCTTTTGGGGTAAGCTGCTGTTTTGAGAGGGGGGTGACCCTAGGCTATGACGTGAGAGTAAGGCTGGCAAATACAGGAAACCCAACTAAACCTGAATTTAGATAATCTATAATTTCTTTAATATGCCAGGCACGACAGTCTCTGATGCCTGGAAACTGCTAGCATTAGTGCAAGAAGGAAGTGGAGCTCGTGGTGACCTATAGGATGACTTCATGCAGAAAGAGGAAATGAAGGGGCTGGGGCTGTAGCTCAGTGGCAGAGCGCTTGCCTTGCCCACGTGAGGCGCTGGGTTCGATCCTCAGCACCACATAAAAATGAATAAACAAAATAAAGATAATGCATCCGTCTAGAACTAAAAAATATTAAAAAAAAAAAAAATCTGAAAAGAAAGAAAGAAAGAGGGACTGAAGACACCACCAGAGGCACCCGTGGCTGCCCTGCTCCAAACCCCTGAAGCACACGTGACTGTCAAGACCAGATTCACCACAGGCACATCATGTTCACTTTAGAAAGATCTTACTTCTCAAATATTTAACATAATTGCTTTGTCTTCCATTCATAAGTTTCATGTCAAACATGGGCTTATTGATGATCCAACTATGTGTTAACAGTTAATGTCCTATTTTCCCGCATTTCCTCAACACTTTAGATCAGCCACACGCTGATCTAAATGGCCTAGTCCTCACATACTCTCAACTTAGAGACAACACAGTGTGAAAATATTAAGAGATGCTTCCACACATAGCAATCTCAACCCTCTGCAGGACCACCCAAGAGATCCAGATTTTAAAAGGTGCTGAGCTGCACACCTCGTGGGAAACAGGATAGAGCCTTGTGAGCACAGGAGACAGCTCTCAGCAGCAGAAGCCAACAGTGTTATGGCCCCAGGGGCATCAAGCCAGGCAGACAGAGATGAACCCGAGTGTGCCACACTCACTGGGACAAAAGTGCTAAGGCGTGTCATCAAGATACATAAAGAAAGATTAATTTGGAAGGTGAAAGTACTGGGGACTGAACCCAGGGTGCTCTACCACTAAGCTACAATCTCCGGAGCCCTTTTCATTTTGAGACAGGTGATGCTAAGTTCCTGGGATGATATGCATGCACCAGTGTCCAGCAAGAAAGGCTATTTTTTTTTTTTAATTTATATTTTAGTTTAGGTGGACACAATATCTTTATTTTACTTTATGTGGTGCTGAGGATGGAACCCAGTGCCTCATGAATGCTAGATAAGCGCTCTACCACTGAGCCACAACCCCAGCCCCAAGAAAGGTTAAATTTTAAAAAGTCAGTACCAGAAAGTAGATAGGGTATTTTTTAAAGAAAAAAAGGACATCCTCGAGACAACCCAAGGTACAAACAGAAGTAGAGTGCTTTCCTGTTAGGGCCCAGGAAGACCCTAACTTATTCCCAAGGAAAGACACCGTCCCAGTTCTCGGTGTTTCTGCCCCCAGCAAGTTTGTCATCTGTAAGGTCAAGCCCTCCTGTGTCCCTGGAGAGACATACTTACAGGCTGGAATATCTTGAGTTTTTTCTTGCCACTGGGATTTGCAGCCTTCTCAATTCTACCCTTTATGCCCTGGTCTTCACTAGACTTCTGCTCTATTGTCCCTATACTTGTGCAGTCCATGCCATCCACACTTCCAGGTCCACATCTGGCTTCTGGCTCTTCTGCGGCGTCAGAATTTGTTTCATCCTGCACTTGCAGAATGGTGCAGTTCGGGCAGATGTAATCCTCCCCATTCCTTTCAAGGAGTCGCCCTCGAGCCTCAGAAATGCCCACACAGTCGCCATGGAACCACTCCTCACATCGGTCACAGCAGATCATAAACCTGAAAGGACAGGACATGGCATCAAGCACTGGAAGTCAGTGATGTACTTTCTAATATATTGCGAGGTCAAACTGGCTTTAATGTCCTATTATTTTAAAAAGAGCGCAAATAGTTTGGTTTTTTCCTTTTGTCTAGAACTTTTTTGGGGGGGTACCAGGGTTTGAACCCAAGGGCACTTAACCACTGAGCTATATCCACAGCCCTTTTTATTTTGGGTCTTGCTAAGCTACTGAGGCTGGCTTTGAACTTGTGATCCTCCTGCCTTTAACTATAGCCTTTTTTGGGGGCGGGAGGGGGCGCAGGCATTTACTAGGGATCGAATTCAGGGGCACTCAGCCACTGAGCCACATCCCCAGCCCCAATTTTGTATTTTATTTAGACAAGGTCTCATTGAGTTGCTTAGCACCTTGCTTTTTCTGAGGCTGGCTTTGAACTTGTGATCCTCTTGTCTCAGCCTCCTGAGCCACTGGGATTAGAGGTGTGTGCCATCGTGCCTGGCTTGACTGTAGCTTTTAAAGAGTAAACTAGAGGCTTCAGGGTGATCTCTACATGACAGCAGCACCTTTATTCCCAACTAGGCCACAGGGACACCTTACCACCACCCAGCACAGGCCCACACTGGGTGCACTTATAGTCTCCACAGCAGCCAGGGCTGAGAGGGAGCTCTGGGTAGCCCCTCCCCACTGCCTCTGTTGGTTCTTTTCACAGTGACTTGATCAGACTCACTCATCTTTCCAACACTCTGATGTCAACACATGGCAGATCCCCTGCTGTTCCCACCCCTGGTGCGTCCTGAAGGCCCACAGCTCCTGGCCCATATGCTGTTGTCAACTCATGGCCAACCCTGCTGCGCTCTGGGACCCACCTGTTGTTGTGAGGCTGGCGACAGATGCAGTACAGTGCGTTGGGGTCATAACCCTCACACTCAGGCTTAGGCCTGCCCAGGTCTCCTGGGTCTTCATCTAGAGTCCTCTGAGCCGCTGTCCCCTCAGATTGACTCTCTCTCTCATCTTTCGCTGCCTGGGACACAGCAGTCTGACCAGTGTCAGGCTCCTGCTTGCAGGAAGGCGTGTCCTCGCCAGCACTGCCAGCCTGCATGTCCACGGTTTCTGTAGGGTCCTCCTCCCGACGTTTCTTCCGCAGGCGGTTCTGGATGCCTCTCGGAGGCCTCTCCACTGGTTCCTGTTCACGCTTTCTCCGAAGGCGATTCTGAAGTTCTTTCAAAGTGAGGCCATCGCTGTCGCTGTCAGAGGTATCATCCTCATCATCGCCTTCTTTTGCCTTTTCAGAAGAGGCAGGGCGCTTCTTTGCCCCTGTGGAACCAGGTGTAGGGCCACCCTTCACCTCAGAGCTGCTCTCGACGCTCCCTTCTGAGGTGGTCTCCACATCTGTGACTGGACAGGAGGCTGGCTCACTGGAATCCTCCAGGGACACAGGCACATTCCTTCTTCCTCGGCGACGGACTGTGGTAAGGAACTCTTCTACCCGCTCGGTGCGCTTCGGCTGCCTCCCACTGCGGCGCAGGGAGAGGTTGTGCTGCTGTGGCTGTTGCTCAGCAGGATCCACCTCGGCATCTCCTGCGCCCTCACGCTTTGCAATGGTGGTTCTCCGAAACCCCCAGGTTTTCCTGAATTCTTTGCTGGTGGGTTTGATAGCCTTCGGCGCATCTTCATTGCCTGGGTCCCCTTTATCATCCATATCTAGTGATGAGAGAGAATCACACTGTGACCAACAGCCCAGGTTCACATACAGGGGCGTGCACCAGCAGGAGCAGTGGAACAGTGCAAGTGGCCGCTCACAAAGGCAGAGCTGTACACACACTGCCTGCTTCTGACCAGTGTCCCGGGAGTCATGAGGACAACTTGGGATTTGTGAAGATTAAGCCGCAGAGCAAATGCTTAGTATAAGAAAATCTGGGTAATAGAGCGAATGTGTGACTGCTCTTTACCACTTAAGACACAGCTTCACACAGGGCAGGAAACCATGAGCAAGAAGCCCCCACGGGATACAAGGACTTGGCAGGAACAGTGAAGTCCAGAGACACTCAGCTGGTGCCCAGAAGTGTACCAGTCCCATGGCACTTTGCATGGAGTCTGGCTAGACACAGGGTACACAATACTGTGACACTTCTGTCCAGGTCTATCCTGGGCTCCTGAGCCTTAGCTTGGGTCATCCCCATGGATGCTTGCGGAATTTTTATTTTTGTTTAAAAATGACAAAACTGGAAAAACAGGGCTGGGGTGTAGTTCAGTGGTACAGCACTTGTCTAGCACAGGATGGGGGGATGACACACACATGACAACACTTAGAAAAAGACAGAATATACCTTGAGAATTATTTTCCAATTTGTCCAGGTTTTAATCACATTTAAATTTAAATGACAACTCTGAATTTATGCCATGCTCCATCCTGGGACTGGTATAAAATGAAGACCCTAAAAAATGCAAAATATACAAAATTTGAAAATCACCAGCAACCTTTTTCTTCTTAACAGATGTAGTCCCTCAGCTATGGACACTGCCTCACAGGGACTCCACCACTCTGCAACCCTGACCCACACCACTCCTTGGTCACCCGAGGTGACCCCAACTGCCCAGGAACACAACTCTCCCGTCAGGTGCCAACTGCAATTCCAAGTCAGAGCACAAACTCCTGAGGATGCCTCAGGAGGACCTGCTGAGTGGGCACCATGCTGACTGTAACTGCCTGTTCATTCTCATCACAACATTTTTTAAGAACATTTTCCTGCTGACAAAAACCAACAAGTTTGTACCAAGTTTTAACGATCAAACCTAGTGCCCTGAGCACCAATCAGCAAGCACTCTTTAAGCCACTAAACAGGCAGCCTACCACTGAGCCACACCTAGCACCCAGGGTATAGCAAACCTGATTTTTAGAAAGGCTGGGTCCTAATTTCCATAGAGTTCTTGAAATTTTTACTCAAAAAGCAGTTTGAGGGGCCAGTACCAGCCTTCCCCAAGAAGCCTTCCCCCTGGGACCCCAGGAAACTCACTTGGGGCATGAGACACTCTGGTGCCTGCCTCTAAGGGGATGGCTCTCTGCAGGAAGAATTCTCCTCTACAAAATTTGGCTCTTATCAGAGAACATACAATATAAAAGCATACTCTCACTAAGAACACAAAAGTAAAGAAACGCTGTATTAAATTCTCAACAGATGCTTAAATATTCACCTAAAAACCTTGGGATAAATTCTAGAATGTTTCAAATAAATACAAATGGTACATTACATCTCTTTACAGACAAGAGCACTTTGCAAATAAGAAATATAAACTTATTAAGTGAACATTTTGTTGGTACTGTTTAATATGGTTGATGCTTTACCTGCCCCAGTGAAGACTTTTTTTCTCTGAAATCCTGAATGTGACGCAAGTCCTGGCCAGCAAAGACACTTGGTCTAGTGGATGGCCAGGCCTCACCAGGCCACAGCCAGGTCACTCTTGCTCGCTCGCTCTCTATAGAGAATTCGAATTTTCAACAATCCAGACGGTCAAGAGATGGCTACCGAAGTATACTCCTAGAGGAAAGTACAGTACAGGTTATAGCTCTTCAGTAACTGTAACTAAACAACATATTAGTAATTAAGAAACAAGCAGACACCAAACTTTCCAAGTTATCTTGTTATGTGATCAAAAAGTGGAGAGGCTGAACTACAAAATTGTTAATTATTCAAGATCCCCAATATTAAAGCTGTATTATTTAATTAAAAAAGCTAAGAAAGTCAGAAGGCTAGTGTTTCTGTTTACTGAACTTCAAAGTAGAAGTCTATGGATGAGTATTAAAAACAAACATCACGCCTTCCATGTCCATTTCAGGTAACCATCACCTCAGCACTCACTCAGATGCTGTTCTAGACAGACCCTCAAGAGCTGCCTTTCCTCCCTGTGGCCCAGAGCCTGCTCTGAGAGCAGAGCCCACATCTTACCTCCTCCTCTGCCTGGATCCAACTGCCTTCCCTCTAACTGTGGTCTCCCTGGTGACCCAGAACAAAGGACAAACATTCTACCTCCTTTAAAGGGACAGTGACACTTGACCCTCTATTCACATGACACCATCACAGCCACAGTTCTCCTCCCATCCTTTAGTGTGAGAAACCCATCCTCCAAATGATGGCTTCAAGAGTTCAGAAACCACTTCTCAAGAGGAAAACATGAATATTTACAAAGGCAAAGACATCAAGATATTCTTAGGAATGAAAGACCACTTAAGAAACTTCAATTCAGGGTTGGAGTGCAGCTCAGTGGCATAGCACCTGCCTAGTACACCCGAGGCCCTGGATTCAACCCCCAGTACCACAAAAAATAAGTAAACATAAAAGTAAACAAGCTGTGAGCGGTAGCGCACCCCTGTAATCTCAGCAGCCTGGGAGGCTGAGGCAGGAGGATTGCAAGTTCAAACCCAGCCTCAGCAATGGTGAGACCCTAAGCAACTCAGTGAGACCCTGTTTCTAAATAATATACAAAATAGGGCTAGGGGTGTGGCTCAGTGGTTGAGTGCCCCTGAGTTCAACCCTCCCACCAAAAAAGTAAATAAAGGACATTTGAAAGACCCGATCACTTTATATCCAAACTGTTTTTACAATTTTACCAACACAGAGAACCAAATGTAAAAGTTCAGTTAACCTGTAAGATAGAAACAGATATATCAAGGCAAAAGTGAAAACAAAATAAAACACTTGCCTAAGGTAAAAGTTAAAAAAAGTATTAAGTTTCTACGGCGACTTATTGTGCAGTGTGTAGAGCTGTATAGCACAGCACATGGGAAATATGGCCACAAAACTGCAGGCACATACTAGTGACAACTTCCTACCAGAAAGGAGAAAACTAGGCATCTCTCCAAGTGAGAAAGGGACACTGCAGGTGAACACCGATGTAATGAATTTACAATCACCTTTCTACATTTCTAAGTACATTTTTTTTCCTCAGTTAAAAACTGCTCCATTCACACTAAACAGTAATAGGAAGATGCTATGAAATATTGGCATTAAATCTGTTTATGCCAGCCAACATTCCTCACCAGTTCTGCTAACAAGAGCCTGTTGGGAGCTACCAAGAGTGGGCCGTGTGGTTGTGCTCCAGCATAGCTCCCAAATTGCTGGGTCTCAGCTGATGACTCCAAAGAGCTTATTTATTAATGTGGGATTATTTACTGATATTTCCAAAGTTTTAGGCATTTACTGAAAAAAAATAAATCCATTACACATTAAAACTTTATTAATGAGGGGCTGGGGTAGTGGCTCAGTGGTAGTGTGCTTGCCTAGCATGTGTGAGGCACTGGGTTTGATTCTCAGCATCCCATACAAATAAATAAAATAAAGGTCCATCAGCAACTAAAAAATATTAAAAAAAACAAAAAAACCTTTATTAATGAAAAAGTAATGTTATTTCCAAAACAATCACAAAGAAATTAGTGTTGAATGGTGTTTTATGTTTTTGCAAATCGCTGGCTTTTAAGAAGATAGCTGGACTTTAAAAAAAATTCTTACAGTGCTGAGGATGGAGCCCAGGCATGCTCTCCACTGAGCTGCACCCCCAGCCCTCTTCACCTTTTGAGACAGGTCTTACTAAATTGCCTCTGCTGGCCTAGAACTGTTGTCTTCCTGCACAGCCCTCCCAGTACACACTTATATGCTCTGCATTCTATTTACTGTGCAGAGTTTTAGCTGAAATAGCTGAAGAAAGCCTTGCCTTATGCAGTTTGTCATTAGAAAATGGAGAAGTGTTTTAACAATCTTTTCACTTAATTGTGGATGTTCTTTGACACTACACAAAATCTAGACAAGTAGCAGCTTCATAAAAGTAGCTGCAACCAGGAATCTGGAACCAGATCAACGAATGTTTCACTGTTTTACATTGAAAGCCGCTGGTCTGTCTTGCACTTGAGCGCATTTTTATTGGGGAGCTGTTTTCTTAGAAAACACTAGCATGAGTTTCAGGTAGAGGATATAAAAGAAATGCATTTGTTAATGTCAGCTGGCATCTCCAAGAAGTCTGTCAGGCAGGGATCATGCTCACATTGGCAAAAGTTTAGTTTTCCAGAAGACAAACTTTCTCTTAAAAGTGCAAATTTTATCTTTACCAACAAATATTGTTAACTGCTTTGAGACGCGTATCATTGGATTTGGGGAAAACACCTGCCAAAACCCCAGTGTGGCAGCTGCCTGTGTCTGCCTGGCTGGCTGAGCTCATAGTCCAGGCCCCCAAAGCTGCTCCTGGACTCAGCCCACTTGTGGGGATGCAGAGGCGCAGCAGGTGCATTTGCCCTCTTGTCACAGGCAAGGATAAGCTGGTGAACGCTGGATGCTGAGTTTATGAAATCAATACTTTCACTGCTTCATCAAGGACATTCACCCTTAAAGAAAACTGGCATTTTTCAAAGGTGCTGTGCATGGTAGAAACATTGGAGCTTTGCACATGGGTCCAAATGTCAACTTGGAGGAAAAGGCTCATCATTATTGTGGGAAGTTTTGACCTTAGCTCTAGGGAGGGCTGAGGACCCCCAAAGATCCGGGAACATATGTGGATGTAGCTACATGTCACTTCTGTTAGTTTAAGAACACACGGGGTTATGTGCAAAGCAGTAACAGCACATTGATGATGCACAAACATTTCCTTCACAAAGGCTCAGCAATGATCTCACAACCCCTTTCAGATTCCCTGACTTAGCCAAACGCTAGCTGTCAGAGCAAATTTCTTAAGAACTAAAAACACCCTCTCAAAATTTTATTTTTATATTATTACAAAAAAATAAGCTTAAGTATTAATAGTGATGCATGACTTTAAAACCCCTGTACAGGGTTGTGGCTCAGTGACAGAGTGCTTGCCTAGCACGTCAGGGCCCTGAGTTCAATCCTCAGCACCACATAAAAGTAAACAAAGGTATTATGTCCAATTACAACTAAAAAATAAATATCTAAAAAATTTAAAAATAAACAAATAAAACCCCTGTACATCTAAATGTGCAACTGTTGCCATTCTAACTCTGCTTTAAGTGAATAAGGAAAGCAAGCAAGTTTACAAGTATCTAGTTCCACACACTTGAGAATACCTTCTTGGTGATCAATTGCTAAGACACCTTAAAATAAGATACACAACCATGATGAACTTATATTCATTCTAGACAAAAAGATAATATACAAGTATAAATTTTGCCCCTTTTGGTGGCAAAACATGTTTTCCAAACTTCATTTTCCCCTAAAACAATACTCAAATTAACAATTTTAATTTTGAAGCAATTCTATCCTGTTAGCCAGAAATCACACTCAATGCTATTAACAAAACCTCATTATTTTGTATTCTAGTCAGAACTTGTTAACTGTGGCAGATTAGGCCAAAGTTCACTTACTTATAATTTCTATTAAGGGTCTATTGTGTCAGCAATCCTTTGTAACGTGGAAGAAGAGGGATTGAGAATATATTAGCTTTAAGTTCTTTATTAAAAACAAAAAGAAAGTCACCTAAGAAAGGGCTCTTCTACAACTCAGTGTTCCTTGTGGTACTAGGGATTGATCGCAGGGGCACTTTATCACTGAGCACATCCACAGCAGCCCCCACCCCTTTTGTGGTGCTGGGGATTGAACCCAGGGCCTTGTACATGTGAAGCAAGCACTCTACCAACTGAGCTACATCCCCAGCAACCCCAGCCCTTTTTATTCTGAGAAAGGGTCACCAAGGTACCCAGGCTGGCCTCCCCATTGTGATCCTCCTCAGTCTCCTGAGTAGCTGAGATTATAGGCCTGTGTCACTGCACCCAGCTGCAACTCAGTTTTTACTAATGGAATCGTCAACTCATACAGACATGTCTAGAAATTTCAGAAACGCAAAAGCTTCATGTCCTCTTGCCTCAGTAGCATCTGCTTACAGTCCATAGGATACCTGCCCACAGCCTGCTCTTCGGCTCTCTTCTTCTGGGGCCCCAAGTTTGCAGCAGCAAAGGTTATGCTTGTCCATCATTTGCTCAGTCCAGGTTTGGGTCCACAAGGGAAACCAAGAGAAAAAGGCTTGAAGACTGATGCCTAGGCCAGGCCCCTGCCCCAGGATCCCCTTTTTTCTGGTTTCTGGTGCAAGCAAAGTCTTGAGACCTCAGTGGCAACTTAGGTGGGAATTTTAAGCATCCAAGTGATTGCCAGGAACCAGAAACAGCCAGTAAGCTGTCAAGGCAAAGAGAAAAATGTGAGGGTCTCACTGCTTTCTATTCACTGGAAGGCTACAGAGTCTCCTAAGTGGCCACTTGTCTGGGCTCCCCTCTTGTCTCTTCCACACTGTTCCAGAGACACCCAGTCCCAGTACCAGGTGAATGTTGCTCTTAATGAAAGGTCACAACCAAGCCTCAGGGGTCACTGCAGTATACAGGTTCTGAGGTTCATCAGGAAATCTGGTATTGATAATGCGTCTTGAGTCAACCACCCAAACTTTAATGCACACAATGGATCCTCCTGTGGGCGTTTCCAGGACAGTTCTGCAGGCTAATGCAAGGGCTCCAGAGACTCTGGATCTGTGGCTCTTGCAACTCTGATCA